AACACACACACAGACACACACACACACAGACAACCTCTCATCAATATGCGTTTTTCGCATTGCATTGCTGCAAAAAACGCATAAAAAATGGATTTAAGATCCAAAAAACTTGTAGACTTGAATTTTTTTTATAATGCAAATATAACCGTTGAAGCTTAGATTTGCGGAACTGTCTCCATGATCCGATAAATGCGCGTATTCGGATGGCAAAGATTCGCCAGTCCCATTACTGCAAACTGGAGTTTCATCAGAACTTGGCTGCGAGCAATTCGCACTTTCTGCTGACGATGGCTGTGAATGGAAGGTACTGGATGGGGCTGAAATTAAAGAAAGTGATAACTAACGGCTTTAAATTTCACTCCCACTTCAGATTTTTCAAATTCATGTCTCAAACACGTTGCTTTCGAAAGCGACGGACAGACACGCCACTCTTCATACCGCAACCTACTAGTCGAAGATACTAAAAAGAAAACTAACCCTCCCTCCCCTTCCGCATCTGACTTCCAGCATCGCTCCAGTTTCGACTTGCAAACTGACAGAAAGTTTGTCTGATATTCCAAAGAACGAGCTGTTTCTAGCTTGCTTTTTAAAGTAATCCTTGACTGTTCGGTCAGACAGTGGTTGTTAACTACTACAGTGTAGATACAGACAAGGCCCTCTCTTTTACAGAGTGAAACAAGGAAAGTATTGGAAAACGCTGAAACATATTGATTTAGTCCTCAACCAAATGCACTGTTGGCACTATTCTGAAAAACTATCGCAGCTGCAGAACTGTTGCGATAAGAGAGGGAATAAAAGACAGCGCGAAACTGCTAGCGGATGAAAATTTTGACAGTCGTAAAGTTTTCAGTAAATGAGGGAGCTTTCTGCCCAGACTGTATCGAAACGAATGATGTTGCATAAGAGCTACAAAGCACAGTGAAGGTAGCTAGGACGCCCGTACACCTGGAGGATGCCAAACAAGTCAAAACAAGCTGGACGTGGGTTGAAAAATCCGTTACTACATGAACCGTGAAATTAAAATATTACTGCAGTTTCCTACACATAAATTTTATTTGGGTGTTCTAGTAAAAATGCATAAAAAACGATGAAAAATTTAGTGTGGTGGGAAAAAATGAACGGGAAATGCAAAAACGGCAGAAACTGAGGGTTTTTTTTAAAAGAGGAAATCGTGGATCACGGCGATCAAGTTTACTTTCGATTCGAGACGATCCATTTTGCCGAGTAGAATAAAAAATATCAAAGGACCGCTAAAAGCACTATACCAAATTGCCTGCCAAATATGTTAAAAAAAAGGAAACGTTGTATTTATTGGGTGTATGCCCAGCATAAGCGAACTCAGCTAATTTTGCGAAGATTAAACGATGCTGCAGCAGAATGAAGCAGAGATTGAGCACGAAGCTGGCTAAATGCGAATAAATTCGAACTTACACGAATTATCTCCGGCAAAAGTCATTCCACGCACACATTTATTATCGTGCTCAGCTGCTGACGTCGCCGTTGTTGCCAGACTTTTTTTCAAAACTGGAACCTGAGGAGTAGGACGAACCTAAACTAGAACGAAAATTAAAAGGTTGTGTCGCAAAAGGAAAAAATTTTGGTTAAAAAATCCGCCCCGATTTCCCTAATTCCCATTTCAATAAAAAAAAAGTCCTAATTCCGGTTCAAAACTCTCCGCCAACAGAATCATTGTGAAGAAATGAAAAGGAAAGATTTTCATGTAATTTTTCTAAGGAACTTTCTCTCTTAATTCCAATGCATTTATTTCGAGGAATAAAAGTAAAAATACGAAGAACCAGCAGAACTAATTGAAAATGCAGATAAGAAAGTGAAAAATTTGAAGGTGTTTGGAGGAACGCGCAATTGTGGGGATGCAGGGGTAATTTTGAAGCGGACGCATCAGAATGCCGGCAAGATTCCATCCATTCGATCTGCTCCCTTCTCTCACCTACTGATTTTTTTTTCCCCTTACAGTGCTGCAGCAATGTAACGCCCATGAGATTTCAACATATCTCAATTTCAAGATCTAACGCCAATTTAATGTTGCTCAAATTTTTGCTCGTACTGTATAACGCGATGAAGAACGGAGGCATTTCATAGCAGATAAAAACTAATAAGATTCAATCCAAAAGCCGCATTTGCTCTTTCGAACTGTACACTTTTAAAATATTTCTCTAAATTTTTACTTTGAGACAGTCAAGTAAATTAAATTAAAAGAACGGAAAGACTTACAGCGAACAGAAACTAATACGAGTCTGCGACAGAAATGCCTGCCTTTGCCAAAAAAAGATGTGACTATTTCACAGAACAGTTGTACCAAAAATATTCTTTCCCTCTAATCCGAACACAAGAGACAAAAAAAAAAAAAAAATTCAGAATAACGCTGCGTACCATTTCGAAAATTCGTCCTCAGATCAAGCAAAAAAAAACCCCTACAAGGGAAGCAACGAAGTTGTACGAACTCGCTCGCTGCAGCCAGTACATTTTCGTCTCCAGCGAGGCAGGAAAAACTGACTCATTGATTTCACGCTAGTCACTGACTCTGAACCATCGTGCCCAATGCGCCCAAGGCATTTTTTCTACCAATTCAGAGACAATAATCCTAATGAATGTCCCATCTTTTTGTTTTTTTTTTCCGTTTTAATTTTAAGTGCAACAGAAAAAAAAATTTGATTTCAAATGCAGAGGACAGCATAAAGTTGTTTGGGCAGACAGACGATACCAACCCCATCGAAAAAAAGTTCTACCAAAAACTGAAAGACTGGCATGAAAACTTGATGCTCTGATCTACAACAGTTTTCGATTCAAAACCACGGTTCTTGTCCCTTATCAGAATCATAAATCTTAAGCTCGATTCAGGTCCTCCTGATAACATGCCATTCATCTGATCACTGAAATCCGTATGCACTTCCAGATGTTGAAGAGGAAGTAGCTGAATTTATCGAGAAGTCGTTGAATACATCGAGCTACTGGTAAGAATCATGTCTTGTCATCGCAATAACTACAAAACTGAATGGGCTTTTTCGGAATAAAACGGAGCAGGGTTCGAAGACGCAAGGAAAAAGATTTAATGAACATATAAGTGGCTCGTACCAGTGCGAACCTGAATGAATGCTACTAAACTGCCATATGTCTGTATTAATGAGGAGTGAGGGACAAGCCAGTCGAAGAGGAAAAAGTTCAAGCTAGTGGAATCTCAAAAGGCCGAAACGAAACCATGTTTGCCCACAGTGAGTAGAATATAGAAAACGATAATCGAATGATCAAATTTGGAGAGGATTGCCAGAGCGTGACGGCTAACCATAGTTCTCAGGAATGATAGCAAAACCGCACTGCACCAGGTCTCTTTTAAAGCTAAATTCTGAAAAGAGTAAAGTGAGACTCGTTTTCAAGCAATAAAAATTTTGTTCAGTAATGCCCTCAGAACATGTGCTGACAGCAGTAGCAGCAGTGGTTTCATAGGGCAAAGATCGTCTTTGAATTCCCGGCCACGTTTTGCGAGAACAATTTATTGACTAATGCAATTCAAAGAAGGCGGAATGGTGGTAGAAGCTGTCGCTTTTGGATAAGGTACGCTAGAGGGATGCTGAGCAACAAGCCACCACCCATACAT